GTGTGTGTGTGTGTGTGTGTGTGTGTGTGTGTGTGTGTGTGTGTGTGAAGAAATGGATCAAAATCAGGGGTCAGATTTTGGAAACAGAGTCAGCACTCAATTATTAGTCTACCTGGTCAGGTATCACAAAGTACCTGGACTTCTATTTGATCAGGACTGGCCATCAAGAGTAGAAATACAGGCCGAATGTCCAAGGAGACAAAGCCAGCCGGGCTCCCTGACAAACCCCACACCACAATTCAACACCATCCTAAACCCAGGGATGCAGTTTGAAATCCTTGACATTGGTTTGGCCTTCCCCACGCCATAGCCGGCTGCTAACACTAATATTCAGTGACTGCATATTTGGGCACACCAAAGGAGATTAAAAAAAGAAAGAAAGAAAGAAAATTTGGAATTGTCCACCACTCCAAAGAATCCCTTCTAAAAAACAAACAAACATCAACAAACCCTTTCACCTGGACATATTTCTGTAATCACCTGCAACACAGCTCACACCAAGCATATATGAAGTACTGAGACACCCTGGTTAGGAACACCCGTGGCCAGGTCTTGTGGACAGCCCGCGGTGGACGGATCCAGGGTGTACCGCCATTTGTCTTTAAATCGATCGTATTTACAATATTGCACTTGATAGAATGCTATTCATTACATTTCATTAAAGGTACGGCTGCCCCCGGTAGGACACCTTGGAGCCCCTCCGTCCACCTGTCCACCTTTGGAGGCAAGTTGCTTGCTTCTGAATTCTGTAAAACAGCAAAAATATCAACTCAGCAATCAAACACTAAGTTTATAAAGTCTCCTTTTCTCCGGCACATGAAATCTCGATTCGTCCGGGAGTTTTGGGGTCACTCGTGTGTGCGTTTAAAACCGTCCCATCGTCTGGGGTCCCCCCAGAGGTGAAGATCTGCCCGGATGTTTGGTTCTGTCCCTCCCGCTGCCAGATCTTTACCCTTCGTGGCCAGAGGCGCTGGAATCTTGCAGACTTTTGCCTGGGGGGTGTGGGGGGAGAGGAGAGCTAGGGGGAGGCTTTGAAAGTCCACGTTTAAATCCACACGCGTCCTGCAGCTGATTCGTGACCCATGAAAGAATACTGCTGGCAAGAAAGAAATGTTCTCTTCAGTGGAGACCAGCCCCGGGGATCTTTTATTTAATATATGGTATGCTCTTCAAAATGTGTCTCTTTAACCACATGCAGGCGAAACGTCGACAGCAGAGGAGCGCGCGACGGTGGCTGAGGGCCTTTTGGCCTGGGTCAGCTTCCAGGACGTGCACACCAGTATCCACGAGGCTCGGGCTGCGCCCCCCTCCCCCGGATCTCTCTGCTGCACAGTCCCCAGGGAGCGTCCGTCGGGGGCTCGCGGGGGGGTAGAGTGCAGGACGGAGCGCTGGGCCAGGGCTCGGGGAGGGGAGGGGGCGATCAAAGGCCCAGAGCCTCGGCGTGCTTTCGTGCCTTCAGCCGCAGGTCAGCGATGCTGGAGTTTTTGCTACTGCTTTTGGCCGCTGCGGCTACAACAGCGGCCGCGGAAGCGGACTCGGCCAGCGATGCGATGGGCAACCCAAAGGGGGGCGGCGGGAACATCAGGTAGGGCGCGTGCGCCGCCAGGTGCGGGTGGAGGTGCGGATGAGCATGCGCCACACCTTCCAGTTGCAGCTGAGCTTGGACCTGGAAATACAAGAGACGGAACAAAGCGTTAGGGGGTTAATAGGGCGCCTCCACTGGCCTGCTGGGGGGGGGGGTTCCCCCCACTCTTCTCCTCCAGGAGATGGGGGTCGGCACTGTTACCTGAACACCGGTGGTTTTGCTCAGTGACAGACTTGAGGAATCCAAAGGGACCCCCCGCTCCCACCCCCATATCCTCGCGGGGGTCAGGATGGAACCCGAGGTCACTCGAGTCTGGTCACTTGAATCAGCCCGTCCCACTCTGGGAGACCGGGTTCCCTTTTCTGGAGGCAAACACACAGGTCTGGGAACTCTGAGGGCCATATCCCATTCAGTCCATCCCTTTATGGGACGCCGCATGGGGTAGCGGACATCTTGGGGTCTTTGCTCCAATGGACGGAGGTGGGCCCACGTGAGGTGAGGTATGGAGGAGGGGTTGCCCTTCCGGCGTTGGTACTCCAAGTCCCAGCGCCCCGGCTACACTTCTCCGTTATCTGTGTTTACCATACACCATGCAGACTCTGACTCTAACCCGGCCCTCGTCCTAAGAGCGAAATTACTAAATGCTGTCCAGTCCACCATCGCTGTGCTTCCGTACTCGCCCCCCACGCCCCAAGAACAGGCCCAAGGGAGAACGGAACCCGCCCAGCTTGGGGCTCGGGTTAGAACTGGGCCTCAGCTTGGACTCCAAGGCCCCAACCACGGGGCCCTCGAAATGCAGGGCAGCATGAGACCCACATTCACGCGAAATGCCTGTCCGACTGGAGGCCACCACGCCGGCGGGGCAGGGTGAGGCCAGGCCCAGGAGGCGCTCGAGGGAGCTGCGGGTTTGACCCTCCCACCCAACCGCGCGTCTCTCCTCTGGTCCAGCCGGCGTCAGGGTGGGTGGTATTTTTTCTTTACGTTCCAAGTTTTGTAAGGTTTCTGCCTTCCCAAACGTGGACTTGGGGAGTTTTACAGCGTGATTTTAATACGTGCCAACGCGTCTATAAATGTCCCCTTGTAAATGCGGTCCTCTTTCTTCCCGGGCTGGGGCCCAGCAGGCGGCGGGCGGGGGCGGAGCGGCCAGGGGGGAGGGTGGGAAGGAGGTGGCGGGCCCTCGTGGAAGGAAGGAAGGAAAACGCGCTACCTGCTGAAATGGCATTCTTAGTGCACCCATGTTCACGTAAGGGGCCACTCGGCAGGCATCCAGGTGGCTGGCGGTGCCCAGGATGACGCCTGCAGAGCACGATGGGGGCGTGAATATCATCCAAGACCCCCCCAAACCTTCACAGACCCCTCCCACCCACCGCCCTCCACGGTTTCACCATGACCCCGCACGTGTCCACCTTGGTCCCCCCCCCCAACCTCCACGGCTTCCCCACGGCGCTTCTCCCCACCCCACCCCCAGCCATCTGTCTCTCCCCATGCCCGGTTAGTCCCTTGTCCCTCACCTTTGTGCATTTGGTTCTCCTGTTTCCGACACTTGGCTCTCCGATTCTGGAACCACACCTGCAGAGGAGCAGACACAAGCCATGAGGAGTCCCGAGGACAAGCACCCTAGGGTCCCAGGCACCCTCGGGAAACCCGGGCCCTTCAGCCCCGCCCCTTTTGCCGCAACTTCACCCCAACTGGCTGCCTAGCCTGGGTTCTGCTCCCTCCTGGACCCCAAATGCTTTATGAGGGTCCACACCTCTGCATACACACACACACACACACACACACACACACCTGTACACCGTAAGTGGACCCGCTTTCCATCTCTGGCTTTCTAGGTGGGCATTTCACACGACCACCCTGTCTGTGTTAGGCCTTACAGACTAGAGCGTGGAGAGAGGCAGGTGGGTACCAAAGAGGGCTCCGAATTCCAACACCTCCCCTAAGCCAATCAAATGCAGTACTCCCTGCCTGTTTGCCCTGCTCGAGAAACTTCTATGAGTCCAGATGGTGGTCCTAGTAAACAAGATAGGAATATGGACCGCCTGGGGCCCACAAAGGCAGTGCACACTTCATCCTACGTTGCAAGGTTTTCTGGCCACGAGGCCTTCAACTGTCAAATTGGTGCTGGAACTCGGACATCCGGAAATGCGCTACAATAACTGGTTCTCTCCCCAAACCCAACACTCCAAACAGCACCCCCTTCCCGCCGCGAGTTGTTTGACACTCCCACGTCCAATGTGAAGTGCCCGCGCCACCCCACCTTGGATAGGGTTGTTATTGTAAAGTCGAGTCGGTTCCGACTCTATAGGGTTTCCGAAGACCGCTGGGGAATTTGAACCGCTGAACCGGAGGTCCAAACAGATCTGGCGGTCCAACGCATTATCCTGCAGCGCCACACGAGGGTAGCGTGATGCCCGTTAATTTTTACCTAAGTGACTTCGCAGTTTTCCCTCCACGCTCTACCAGTGACCTGGGTGGGAAGTGCCTGACCATGCGCAAGTCTGAAACACACGAAGCTTCCGCCGGGACCTAGAGTTGAAATTGCGCGCGCCTAGCTCTGCGCGTCCAGCTGGAGCTGGTTCCCCGGCATGGAAAACCCTAGGCAGACCTTTGTTTTTGTTAAGCGCCGTGGAGTCGGTTCTGATTTATAAGTTTAGGGGCGGCTGTTGAGTTTGAACCGCTGATTTTGCGGTTCAAAGCTACCCCATCGGTCCAGTGATTATCCTACAATGCCACACCAGGACTCCCAGAAGACCTCCAAGAAGCTGGAAACATTCAAACACTATACAGCTTATGAAACCAAAAGCGCATTTTCCATTTCAGGCCGTTCAGAAGGCGTTTCCTTTGTTGGCGGGGTGTCCCACGGCGAGGGGAGCAATGGGCCAGCGGGTTCCATGTAGGAACTGGGTTCTAGGTTCCAGGCAAGCTCGTCCCACCACAGTATAGGGGGCCTGAAAAACTTTCCCGGTGCCCCCCAGAATAAAGCCCCCCCCTTTTTTTTTTTTTTAATAAGTCCCCTCTTAAGTAGAAACTTGCTAAATCTTTACTTAGTTTCCAAACCTGCGCTTCTATTTTCGGTGTTCGTAAGAACCGGTTACGACCCAGTACCTCTGTCTTGTCTGGGGTCCGACATCTTGCCTCCTTGGGAGGGGACGCCAGATGCGCGCGAGAGCAAATTCTACCCCCCTCCCCCGAAATGGCATTTCTCAAAACCAGAATCCTATTTCAGTCTGGAAAAAGGAAGTTCACTTTTCCGACAGCGGGAGGGAAAAAAAAAAAAAAAAAAGATTATGAAGAATAAAAAGTGATGAATTAGGCTGTGCATTAATCGACGATAAATCAGACTTGGGTTGAGTAAGGATCGATTGCAATTAGTATCGAATATGCTAACTAAAGCACAATACAGTGTTTTAGACACTTATTTCTTCATTAAGGATCATTCCGTGACTTTCTTTTACAAATGCTCTAATCCGATTTCCTTTTGATTTCCATTACAGACAGTGAATAATGACATTTAATTTAGCTCTGCGCCATAAACCCAGAGATATTTGTTGTAATTAAATTACTGCCTGGTCTTCACCGTGGTCTCATAACTTCCAATTATAACGCTGACAGCTGTGAGATACAGCTTGCAGTACATCAGTAAAAGTAAAAGGTTAATAAGGACCAGCTTCCATAGGATCTGCAATTTATTTACAGCAAATTTCCACACGAAATTGAAACTATATCCTTTAACAACTAGGGACAGGCTGTGCCAACGATCAAGAAAACCCAGTAACTGCAATGAACTGAAAACACTCTTCGTTTTCCTCCCTGCCTACCACCACCTTCAGTCAAGACAGGTTATAACGAATTGATTTTTATGAGTGCCCCCTGCCCCCTGCCTCTTCCTCCTCCGCTTTGTGTGATGGTTGGGTTTTTTTGTTTTTTTTTTTTTTAGGTTTTGTTTTCCCCTGTGGCGAACCGAAAATTATCTCTTTTATATCCTGTGTTTATTTTTATTATTATTTACGGTCGTTAAATTTTAATTCACCTTAAAATCGATAGCCACTCATTTCTCTCTATGTCCCCCGCACCCCCTCTCTTGAATTTTAGAGCTTCCCTCTTAGTTTTTTTCCAGATGTAAAGGCACCCAAGAACCAATTTTCTGTAACTCAGTATGGCCTAGTAAAGCCCGACTCAGTAATAGACTCCTGAAAGAAATAGTGTGGAATTAAATTACAAGTAATTTATTTTTATAGAAACAGTACATCAAGGTCTGCGAGATATTACAGATCTCAGGCAGAAAGACACAGGGAGATGACATAAAAAGTTGATGTCCCCTTCAGCAAAAGTTTAATCTTTTCATTAATTTATCTGGGGCAGTCTTATCCATCTTCCGCGGAGAGAGGGTCCCAGCGGGCTACTGCGCGCACGCGCGCGGGGCCAGCCTCCTCCCCTCGCTACGGCCACGGGTGCGGGGGGGAGTGGGGGGTTGCCTCTCCCTGGGAGAAGGGTTACAGGGAGACCCTACTTACATCTTGGAGACGCAGCAACTGGTCAGAAAAGTTAGAAAGTGCCTGGCGTGTGTTTATTTAATCTTGTAAGCATTTTACTGCGCTGAGAGGAAAAGATGGAAAGAAAACAACGAACCTCCACGCGCAAACACACACACACACAGTGTATTTAAAAAATAAAGATGGTGTCCGTTGGTACCGATAAACACGCTTGCATTTTCGTTTCAGACACAAAATCAGGTGAAGTTGTCGTTCAATTTACTGACCCAAGAAACCTCGCTAATTCCTCTCTCCAATTCCCTGCGCTCCCGAGGGGACACTCCTCGGGGAACAATATTCGTTTCATTTATTCATACTCGGGTCCCTGGGCCTTCTCGCTGGGACCTTCTACTGTTGCCCCAAAGCGTGAGAAACTATCGGACAGGGAGAATCCCCTTCCAGGCCCGACCTTCAGAACCTGGGGAAGCCATCCTGGGCGCCTACCCCTTCCCATCAATAAATTAATTTAATGTTCACAGTGCCGGAGAAAGCCTTGCCCGCGCGCGCCCCTTTTGCGCACTTTCTGCATACTCCCAAGGCCCGGCTGACGCTGACTCGCCAGATGGGGCGCCGCGAATTCATGAGCTATCCCTGGAATGAGATGCGGCAGCCCCCATGCCCTGCCCGAGCTAATCCGGCCCCGCACGGGCAGGAGACTAGCTTATCCAGATGCCCCCCACCACAGGAGTGGGAGGGGGCTGAGAAAGAGGGGAGAACGGAGAAAGAGAAGGGGAACCGAGGGGGAGGGAGGGCAGTTAGGAGACGAGGGCAGAAGGCTTGAAATTCCTAACCACCCAACGGTATCTAGTGGGTCGGTGCCCTGCGCATGCGGCTCCTGGGCCGAGGGGCGCACGCTGGCCTGCCGGAGTGGGTTGGCCACGGTCTTACCTGCACGCGTGCCTCGGAGAGCCCCAGGCGCTGGCTGAGTTCTTCACGCATGAAGGCGTCCGGATAGTGGGTCTCATCAAAGAGCCGCTCCAGCTCATTGAGTTGTTCCAGGGTGAAGTTGGTGCGGCTTCGTCGCTGCTTCAGCTTCGTCTGACCGTCTTCGTCCTCGGATTTTACGTCCTCCCGCTTTTCTTTGCATTCGTAGATACCTGCGGTTCGAGCTCAGGTGAGGCCAGGGGTCCAAAGGCTTTATTTAGCCCCTTTCCCCACCCCACCCCACCCCCCCCCACCCCCATCCCCCGGGGTTTGACGTCCCGGCCCATGTCTCCCCATCCTGCGTGGGGTCCTGCCCCCATCAAGATCTCGGTACTGAAGAACCTAGCCCACAAGGGAAGGGGCCATCGGATGCAAAATCGCCCTGACTCAGAGACTGCTGCCGGCGACCCAGTCCCATCTCCGATTTGTTTCCTCAATTACCCACTTGGTGTCTGTTGGCATAGTTCAACCTTTTATTATTATTATTGAAAGGACGTTGTTAAATACACTTTTTAAGTCAAAATGAGTAGAAAAACCTGCCCAAGTGTCAGAGGGAGGGAAGCGCAGAAGGGCACAAGCAGTATGAGACCAGGCCAAACCTGGGGTCGGGCTCCCCCAGAATTGCTGCTAGGAGCTGCACCGCAGCAGAACTGGGCCAGCCTGGTCGGCGCCTCCTCAGAGACGCTGAGAAACCAGGCAGGTGGCCACCACCCTCCACACTTCTTAGGGGCTTAAGGATAAAAGCAAAACATTGAACCAATGCCACACTGGGATAGGGTCTGAGCGCTCCAGGCCTAGGCCTTGGGCTTCCTTCTTGGTGAACGTCTCTAATTCAATCACCTCTGGTGGCTCAACACTCCCCTGAGGCGCCTAGAAAGACACTTTGTTTGGTGCAAACATTTAGAGTTGCCCAACAACCCATGGTGTTTTCAATAGCCTCATATGGATGCGAAAGCTGGACAGTGAATAAGGAGGATCGTAGAAGAATTGATGCCTTTGAGTTGTGGTGTTGGAGGAGAATACTAAAAGTGCCATGGACTGTCAAAAGAACCAATAGATCTGTTTTGGAAGAAGTGCAGCCAGAGTGCTCCTTGGAGGCCAGGATGGCTAAGCTTCGTCTCTCCTACTTTGGACATATTGTCCGGAGGGAACAGTCCCTGGAGAAGGATGTCATGCTGGGTAAGGTGGAGGGTCAGAGAAAAAGAGGAAGACCCCCAACGAGATGGATCAGCCAGGTGGCATCATTGATGGCCTCAAGTGTGGCAGCGGTAGTGAGGTTGGCCTAGGATCGGACATTGTTTCATTCTACATAGCATGGGGTCGCTATGAGTCAGTTCTGACTCGATGGCACCTGACAACAACAACAACAACATCTTCCAAGAAATACAGAACCTTGTCCAGGGTTTAAAAGAAAGATCTTCCTCAACCCCCCAGCCATCCACCTCTATGTGTGGCTGGTGGAAACTTCAATTCTAAAGTCTAAGTCATGTTTTCCTGTGTTCCTCTTCTTTCTGTCTGGCCACAAGACTTGTGGGTGCAGGCAAAAAAGACCCCAAGTTCTAATTAAAGCCCCAGAATCAGGGGTGGCATTCAACAACCCCCCTGCCCTTCAATAATCTCTCTACTCCAAGGAGCTCTGCTTGGGCCTCGGAAGCCCTTCATCTGAAGATAGCACAGGGAATCCATTGGAAGTTTCCAGATCCCAGAAAATTGCTGTCAAAGGAGGAAGACCCCATGCACCCACAGCAGGGGCAGGGCAAGTGTCTAGAATTTTGTGTGCCGCTGAGCACACATTTAGACACCCAGGGATCTCTGTAGCCTGGGGGGGAGGGGGGGAGAACCAGTCTTGAGTCCTGCCTGCCTCCCAGACTCAGAATCCCTGGGCACAACCCCCAAAAGGCTTTCAGTCCTAGGTCTTCTGGAAGTAAGAAGTTTCCAAAAAAAAATGTCCTAGCCATCTCCTGCAGGAAATCCTTCCCCAAAGCAGACCCCAGCTGGTCTTCCACCTTCTTTAGTGAAGTCTTTGCCCCACCACTGGGCCCAGCTGAGAAATTGAGCTGTCATATCTTTCAACATCAAGACAACAGTCCTCAGCAACATCAGGAGACACCACACGGGGCTCCCAGAGACCCCCCAGATGGCTGGGTTTCTCCAAGGGCTCATAGAACCTCCTTCCTGCTTCTCCTTCATTCCAATCCTGCAAGTGTACGCTGAGGCCTTCTAGGATTTCCCCACTGTCAGTGAGAGGTTTTGAGTCTCCAAGCTGATCCCTTGCTGAGGTTTCTCCTAGCTACAGTGTCTTTCTCTCCACTTTCTGAAGATTCCTAATTGAGCTCTGCTCTCTTCCTGTTGTTATTAATTGCCTTAGACTTATGTCCAACTCTTAGCGACCCAACCCGGATAGGGTTTCCAAGGAGAAGCTGGTGACTTTGAACTGCTGACCTTGCCGCTCAAACCGACCTTGGGGTCCAGTGCATTGCCCCCTTTTTGGGTCCCCCTACCTCTATATTAAGAGGATAAAAGGAAAGAGAGAGTCCAACCTCTGGGAAGTTAATGCGGAGGCATAGAGCTCAGAAGGCCCTGACTCTGTTGTAAACCCCTGAGGTATGTGTCGGTCATGGTAACTCCATCTCCATCAAGTGAACTCTGTACGAATTAGACATCAAGGTGCCTAGCTGAACCTGGAGGTTGTTGGTGGCTGGGGTTTTCTGGCAGACAGATGGCCAGAAGGGTTAGTTCTAGCGATACCAGGTTTCCCCTTCTACAAGGCCTCAGAAAGACACTTCAATTGCGTGCCAGCCGTCCCCAGAATTCTGCATTCTCAGACCCACAGTGCTGGGTGGTGGAGCCGGAATGTTAAAAGGGGAAAAATGGCTTCCTAGGAAGGGAGACCACCCACCCCCTCCACTTCGGACAGCTGAGGGAGGCAAAGCTACCAGCTTCAGGGTCTCCCCGTTTGTAAAGAAAAATATGGTGTCTCCGAGGGCTCTAGACAATTTTGTGCTGACTCTATATACAAGCAACCCTGGCGTTGTGTATGCGTCCTCCAACCGGCAGGGACCACCTTGCCCAACCCTGTAAACCCAGAAAATGTGTGCCTTTCTTTTCCGGATTGTACAGCTGCGGAATTTTCGGGAGCGAGAGTTACCAAGGGAGCCTGGGTGTGCGCGCCCGGACGCGTGTCCCGCAGCGGGACCACGGCGTTGTCACAGCCTAGGTAGGACAAGGCAGTCCACGGCCAGATCCCGGGTCACATGAGGCGCCAGGACGGGTTTAATTGGCAGACTCGGATCTCCCTAGATTAAATCTCTTCACGGGTCAAGTGAAAGTTTTCCGTGAGAGGAGGCAGCTAAGGTTCCGAAGCCGGGTCTCTGCGCGCTGCTTTCCGGAGAGACCGCGGACCAGCGCGAACGCACTGTTTCTAGCTCCGGGGCAGGCAGGCCATGCATGGGGCGCTCCGCAAGATATGAGCCGTTCTCAGTGTGCGTCGTGGTAGATAGAAAAAGAACAGGCAGAAGGACATACACGCATCTGCCCTACCCATAGAAGACCATAGTCACGGGACATCCATAAAGATCCACGCCAGCCCAGGGAAGTTCCCGCGATGACGCCAAGAGCCACCGCCCCAGGGAGCGAGTGCGCGGGCAGCGCGCGGTCCCACCACTGGCCCCCCAGCCCCAGACTTCCCTGGCGGCCCTGCCTTTCCCCCCTCCATCTCCGCGCGTCTTCAATTTCATTCCTTTCCAAAGACTCTTGATAGATTGCCCGGGCCTTCCCAGCCGAGCCGTTCTGCGAAAGGAATCGGCTTTGGGGGTGGAAGAAGAGCGAGCCACGGTTCCCGGGCGTCCCCGCGCCAAGCGGAACCAGCAACCGGCGGGTGGGCAGGCTCAGCGGCGAGGTGGCGCCCCGCGGTCGGGAGGGGTCCAGTCAACGTCCCAAGGAGCTTACCTTCCGCAACCCTACCGGTGCTGAATTCCTTGAGTTTGTCCTTGTCGCTGTCCACGTGGTCTTTGAATAGATGTACCGGACAGTGACCGTTGCTGTCCGCTATGTCCTGAAGGCTGGATTCCGAACTGCCCAGCTCCCGAGAGCGCGCCAGTCCGCTCTCCAAAACTTCCCTGTAGGTAATCGAATCCTTTTTGCCGCCGCCACCGCCGCCTCCCATACCGCTTTCCTTGTTTTTCTGGTCAAAAGATTTGGAGACAAAAGCAGTTAGTTCCTCCATGGCAGCTGGGGGGGTGGGGGTGGGGGGCTGCAGGGTCCGCGGGGTGCGGCGGCACTGGCTGGGAGCCGGGCTGCGGTCCGTCCTCCACGGCGTAGAGGACGTTCGGCGCAGGGGCAGGTCCCTCCCGCTGTTTTTTATGCTTTTCAATTTGAGATCACACTATTTATATATACGTGGCTCCCTAACCCAACCCCCAGCGCTCCCTGTCCGCAGCAATTACGGCTGCGGACTCGGCAGCGGACGCACGCCGGGCGCTATCTCTCCCCCACCTTCAGGCCAGCAATTGGCTTCCTTTTCATTTCATCACTGCTTGGCACCCGCGCAACTTGGAGTGCAGAGGTAAACATCAGATTTTTGAAAAGAGGGAAAGAGAAAGCGAGCGCGCAAGAGCGCAGGCGCCGACGCCCGGGTTCAGGTATCTGTCAATGGGTTGCAGACGCAAAACTCGACGAGGACTTTATGGGTTGCAAGAAGGTCCTCCCTGGCCTGTCCAAAATGCTACCGCCCCGCTCTGAGAACCCACGCGTCTGCGCGCGCCAGTGCGCCCAAAGGAGTCCAAGGATCCAAGTTGGAGAATGCGGTTTGATGGCCGGATAGACCGAATCGGGGAGGTAGTGGAGCGCGCAGGGGTGACTGGGGGGCTGCTGCGGAACCGGGAAAGGCCTTGGAAGAAATCTGGCTAACAGCGCGCGGAGGGACAGCCGCCCTTCCCTCGGGAGAAGCCCATGAGGGAGCCACGAGAGCCGGTTCGTAAGCATCGGTCCTTCAGGCTCGCGCCAGACCTCGTCCGTGTCATCCTGGGTCTAAGATATTTCTAGAGGGGGAGGGCGGACTAGTCTCCTGTTTGGGGTTTTACCACGGTTGGCTTTCTGTTTCCCTCTCACCATTTCACCCGAGTGCTTGTGAGAAACCGCTGTTCCCCTGTCCCACGTGAAATTCATTTTCAGGTCTGGAAATCAAGCGTGTCTTTGCTCTCTGCAAAACTCCATCTGCAAATAAAGTTGACTTGACCCTATTATCTCTCTTTTCCTGTTACCTTTCCCCAGCTTCCCCTTTGAAGAGGTAACAAGACGCGCGCGCGCGCGCGCGCGTGTGTGTGTGTGTGTGTGGCGCGGTGCAGAGGCCTGGTGGTGATCCTTGGAAGAATTCGTTTTTTGCATTGTTGGGGACACGATTCCTCCTTAGAAATGTTTGTCAGCCCCGAGGGTCGGTTCCATCTTCCGTGTTTTGGCCCGAGGAGCCGGGACGGTTGTCTCCTTACACGGGAGAGACAACGATGTCTCCAGATTCACCGGGACTTCTGCGTTCGCTCCTTCCTCCCGTCTCTTTCTTCATCCTGACTCCAAGTGTTCACATTTTCTTTCATTTCGTCCATCCACCCCTCCCCCTCATCTGTTATTTTTCTCTGCCCGCCCACCCTTTCTATAAAGGATTCCATTGCCTCCTTTTTCCTCATCTCTTTCTCTCCTCCCTTCGCGCTCCTCTTTCTCGGGAGCCACGGCTCCTGTCCGCGCCGCCACACACGCAGGGCTGGGCAACCCCGAGCTTGTCCCTCTTCCGGACTGAAAACACGAAAGGCGAAGAAGCAGCCCTCAATTTAACAAACCGGGTTTTGTCACCAACGCTTTGTAATCAAAGTCGGGGCGTACGGCTACCACACGGAATTACAAATAGCCCCTGATGTACGAGAGCGCCTTGAGGGTTGGTGGGGGTGGGGAAGGGGACGCTGACAGCCGGGAGTGGACCGTCAGCGCCTGACTGAGCCCCTCCCCACACCCAGACGCGGACTCCTCCGAAACAGACTGAAGACCAGACGGAGGACTGAACGCGAGAGAGCCAGCCGAGAATGCTGGTCGGAGGAACACAGTAAAAAGATGGAGAAGACAGAGAGAAAGTAATGGGGGGGGGGGTGTGTGGGGGGGAGTTAGAACGAGAACTAGAGACAGGGAGAGTCAGAGACGCAGAGGAGAGACACAAAGAGACAGGGAACATTCAGACTGCAGATATAATTCTGGAGGAAGGAGCTCCAACTTTTGGGGGTGTTCAGAGTGTGGAAACTCATTTCCTGGAACTCCCTTAAAGCTGTCTTTTTTATTTTCTTCATCCCTGCTGACCCCTCCTCCACTTGGCCTCCCAAGGACCCTGGCAGTGTGTGTGTGTGTGTGTGGGGGGGGTAGTGGTGTAGAACTTCTTCTCCAAACCATTCTCGGCTCTCCCCCGCATTACCCAGACGGCCTTCCCTGAGGTCAGTCTCCCATCTGGACCCTGCAGGCTCAGATTGGGTCCAGGCCTCGGGCGTTCAGCCCAGACCCCTGGGACGGTGTGTGGCCGGGCTCTGTAGGGGGGTAGGGGAGGGTGGCGCCCCTGAGGGGACACCAGGTTAAATCTGAATGACCTGAATGAAGTCTGGATTAAAGTTAACTCCCCCACCGCAAACACGCTCCGCATGCTGCCTTTGTAATTTTGATTTTTAAACACCCCACACCCTAAATGTCACAGTGCCTTGCAAGATGTGGCCTTTTGCTTCCTCAGAGTTTCTTGCTAAAATGAGACCATCTTTTCTAAAATCAAACTTTTCCCTGGACCAACTCGTCCAACCTGTGGAGACCCCCACTGTGGAGACCCCCACTGAGGACCCTGAACGCCCTTCACACCCCTGAAGTTTCTCCATGAATGCATACACTTGACCTCTTACATTCTACTTTAAAGGCAGGACCAGAAAGTGTCTAATATTCTTGCTACCCTTAATATTTCAGAGCTCTAATGAAACTTTTTAACACAAATTTGGGTTAATTCAAGTTGCTGCCCAAGGTTGCTAGGTACAGTTCATGAAATGTTGCCTTTACGGCGCAGCAAAGGAGGTTGGAGCTGAATCGGTGATCTGCCACTTGGTGCAGGGGCGATGCATAAGGGGTGTTTGTTTGCCCTGGGGGGGGCGGCTCACTAAACAAAGTCCAGAGGACTGGGGAGTGGAGGGTGTGTGGGAACAGACTTTCAAAATCTCAACTTGAGAGAGAAAATAGATGTTTTCATGACTTGTCTGCGTTTTGCAGTCCATATTAATAATAAAAAAAAAAAATCAGGTTTCTGAAAAGTTGGTGAATAGAAATGAAAGCAGATATCCCGACTAAAAATAACAGAAGCAAAAAGAAAGAAGTAGGGTTTCATGTATGTGTGTTTGGGTATGGGGAGTAAAGAAGGACTTTGGAAAGTTTGCTGAAAGAAAAAGAAAGTTTCAGAGTCTGTTTTACCACGTTTCAGTGGGAAAAGGCCTTTGCGTGTGGGGGCACCGGTGAGCGGTACCGGTTCCTTGGACACAGAGCATGGACCCTGGCTGGTCCAGTCATGGACATCTGACCTTCCTACCCTGTCCCACCCCCTTCATTTCCCAAATCGGAAAAGACACGTAAACAAAATGAGACTTAACGAAATAAAAACCTTGAAATCTAGACGAAGGGTGGGCCTCCCACAAGTATTAGAAGGGTCATTTTAAATCAACCCTACCACACAGAGGAACCGGCTTGTTTGTGACTGTCTCAGGGTCCGCGGCCCTGTCCACACCAGCCCCCAAGTCCTGAGCACCAAGCGAGTTCCAGACGGAGGCTCTGGTCCAGCCGGCTTTGAGCGCACGCTGGGAGGCAGTCTCTCCCCTTTAGTGGACTCTCCTCCAGAGCGAACAACCCATGCTATGGGTGAGACTGGACCTGGGTAGCCCCATTAGGGAGGTGCAGATCCCACCCAGTCCAAAAGCTCCCTCTGGATCTAGGGCATCGTAGAGACATTTGGAGATCTGCGCTCCTCCACACCCCAAACTCTGTCTCAGCGTGGGACCTTCACTCCAGCTCAGGGTGCATGCAGCCAGATACATAGCTGCCAAGAGCAAACAGCTTAAAAGCTGTCTCTGGTTAGGAACTAAAGGAAATGTCTTAGACCCACCCCTGTCAGGGTGCTGGTTGGACCCCCTTCCCGACTGCAGAACCCAAATGGCCCACAAGATCCTTTAGGTGTTCCATTCCTTCTGGGACTGACCATGAAGTCTTGTATGCCCACCCGGGCCTTTTCAGGACAGCTGACGCCTCACACAGCACAGGACCCCCACCTCCTGGTCTTGCAGGGTGGGACCCAGAGACCACAGGATCTGAGCAACAGACCCACCCTATAATAGTTTATAAAAGGATTGGGCTTTGTGGAGCTGAATGAGGTACATTTTAATAAATGGACACCCACGATTCCTAGTTATTTTTATTTTAAATAATGCAAGAGAAAATGAGACAAATCATATTCACATAAGGAACGTTTTGTTTCTGAAGTTCCTAAAATGAATGGCTTGAGGTTTTTCAGTGTTGGCCCTCTGAAACTTCAGAAACACCCGTGATTGCTATAAAAATCCTGACCATGTGATTTCCATCGGACAACTTTCTCCTCAGTAATTTGAAAGACACTTTCTATTAATAATAGGAAAGGCGGAGGTATTGATAGGCTTGGCCTCAAAGAACAAACCGTTTTAAACAATGAGCCACTCCCAGTACATGAAATATTTATCAGTATTGATCGAAGGTCTAGGATTTCCGCAGACGTCTTAGACATTTCATAGAGGGGGTTTCTCTTCATCCCCCTCCCCCGTCCCTTATCCACCCCCATTTTAAATTTAGAAAACCTGCATTTGTGCGTCCTAGATCAGTGTTTATCGATTGACGCTAGCGCTGAGTCTTAGGGACACGAGGCTTAATAGATTTTCATTAATATGGGCTTTGCTAATCCAACCCTAAATGGAAGCAATTGACCGTGTCCATACAAGGCACGTCTATAATATTCATACAGGGATAGGAAGTTTGCCTGCTCAGAACTCTCTCCAGGGTGGGCCTTCCTGAAAATGTGGGGTTTTTCATTTTTGTAGGGTTCCCCCCCCCATTTCCTTTCGTTTTTGAGGCAAGTCTCAGAATTTATTAGTAGAGGGTATGTGTGTGGGGGTGGAAGTGGGGGGGGGGTCACTAAAATAA